CTTTCTTGGTACTAAATAATTAAGATAACATTTTAAACTGTGAATTTCAGCATCTCCAACAATACCACAGTACCTATTTTAACCTTAAATAAACCTTATACATTTAACCTTAAATAAACCTTATACAACAAAATGTTGTGACAATTGAACGTGTAGAAAGTAAACAAACTGCAAATCTCAAAAGGTCTTCTTACAGTTTTGATAAAAGAAATGTAACAAAGCAGATGTATTTTGTTCATAAATACACATTAAAATCAATAGTTATACAAGCGTCTCTACATATTTGTTTTTACTAACAAGTTACGTGTAAAATGCGACAATTTTGTTCAGAGGGTGCGTTTTGAAAAGCAAATGTGATTTCGAGAAAGCTATATATTGCTCCATTATTTTGATTTTCCAAAGGGTTCGCCGTTGCATGACAATCTACTGCACTTTAAAGGGACTTCTCGAGCATAACCTAGCCTACTAATGATATGTTCAAGTAAGATTAAAATGTAACTTTTCAGTTAAGGTTTAATACTGTATTTAAGGGATATATCGTTGGTTCACTGTTTACATCACCATTTACCAAATTGAAATAACATTCCAATAACGGATAATTTGCGATGAGCCTGAGTTGCTTGTTTATTACCCCAAAAGTTAAAGAGGTAGTGTCGAATCTTAACCACTCATCCGGAAGTTATCGGTATTAATGTTAATGTGGGTGTATATAGCCGTTGCCCCTGTCTGTCTGTCTGTCTATTGTGGACATGATGGAGAGTTGGTTTCTTGATGGATTTTGACGAAACTTGTTTGTAATCACCCAAAAGATGAACCCCATTGAAAATTAGACAATCGAAAAATATTTACTATGAGTTATTGCCCTTGTTTTTTAATTGTTTGTGGACACGATGGAGAGTTGGTTTCTTGGTGGATTTTGACGAAACTTGTTTGTAATCACCCAAAAGATGAACCCCATTGAAAATTAGACGAATCAAAAAATATTTACTATGAGTTATTGCCCTTGTTCTTGAATTGTTTGTGGACACGATAGAGAGCTGGTTTCTTAATGGATTTTGACGAAACTTGGTGTGAGTGTTTGTAATCACCCAAGGATGAACCCTATTGGAAATCAGACGAAACCCATGAAATATAAAAATTTCACTCTCAGACACATTCATTTACTGATAACTCTTGTTAACCTCCCGGACAAATTAGCTGCCATTAGAATTGTGGGCGTATGACGATGGCATCGCTATTTTTTGTTTAGCGTGCATGACGGTGAATTAAAATTTGAATAAACGTTAATGTTTTTATATCAAATAAGACTGATATGGCAAAGCAGCAGACAATCATCGAAAGTTCCTCTTTAAGCTTTTGGTTTGTTAATTTAATTTCAATTTTTCGCCCAAAATGATTGGAATAATACATCCGCAGTAAGGAAATGTACTTCTCGATTTATTTAAGTAATATTAGTTTTTGCACAATTATCAAATTCCGGATGGCGCTTTGGTTGATAAGTGTGTTATACCAAGTCTATGTCATTCTTCCACCTTTGTTCTCAAGCAATCGAGCAATCACTTTTACCTTTTATAGATTCCCCTTGAAATAATGCAATCTTTATTACTACTAGCCTGAGATGGCATCTCCATAAATTATCGAGTAATTTGCTGAGGAACAAGGATTGGTCGTTAGTTAAGAGATTATGACTTTTAGAGATGGCTTTTACAAATAATTAATGCCAAGGACTTGTGGACCTTTTAAAAAACTTGCACCTTGTGACGGGATTTACACAATTGATAATACGCTTATTGTTAACCAGGAAATAGTTTTGTATACGCCTTCATACTCGGTTGTATGTACAAATTATACTGTATTATATTATGAGAATCTTGTAGTGTTCGGATAGAATAAGTCAATATATGGTTTCTTGTGTTAAAAGAAATATGGCCATGTAATTTTTATCTCTACCAAACAATAAATTTTATATTAGCTGACCGTTTGAATATGAAAGTTTCAGATCAGTTACTGGTAGGCGTAAGTTCCTTCAGATTGTTTTTGTAAAGTTTTGTTGTCTACATTCAAAGCTATATAATATAGAAAATATGACTAATGGTGCAAGTCTAAATAGGAATAATAGCGATCGATTTAAAAGTTTTTACCTGGATTTGAACCTAATGTTGTTTAATTCCCCAATGATATAAATTCAATGTACGGTGAACAATGCGTTGATAAGCAGTATACTGAAAAATAGTAACCATAGAACATAGACATTAGACCTGGGTTCTTAATATTTAATGATATTCAAATGTTAATTACCTATTGTGAATCGTCCATAACGATGAATCCAAAACGACAAATCAATGTCATTTCATTTACCTTTATTATTGTCACATTTCAGAGTTGCTGGTAAATTAGGTACTCGTCCAAACAATCGGAAGGATGTAAAGTCAGAGTAAAAAAGGGTTAGTTATAAAATGCTATGCTTCTATGTATGTAAACTAACATATTTATTGTGTTTTAAGCTTTTTTTCTTACAACATTCAGTTAATTTGTCCTAGACAATAATTCGAATAGATATTAAACGGTCTTTAAAACTTGAACATCGTAAATTTTAACAAATGAAACCATCCTGAGCAGATTGCTGGTAATGACAAGGAGCTTTATAGTTGCAACACAAGGACAAAAGTGATAACTAAGGTATAAGGAAGAAGCGTTCAGTCAGAATGGCGACAATTTGTGTGTCGGTGTTACATTTCTTCAACTGTGGTAGTTGGTAGTCTTTAGCCTATAATGGTGTAAAAAGGACGATATTTAGATTAATTTGGGACTCAAAATAAATGCCGATATCAGTTTTTCGGGCAAATAAAAGTTCATATAACATGCAGAGTGTTTCTTTATTTTCTTCCTTTTGCGTCATCTCAATGTTAATCCTGAAAAATACTGGATAATGTCATAATATAATACTGAAGCTTACATACTTCACATACTATGGAATGAGATACAGCCATATAAGAATGAAAATATAATTAAACAATTATGTCGTATATAATCAGTCGATATATAATAATAATATTTATATCCACAATACAAGATATAGCTGTTGTCTGCCACACATCGGTTCACCGTTCATTCAGGTATGTGCCATATATAATTCATTTGGTGTGAATTCCTGCTTTGTTTTGTTTTAAATTTTGACCGAACGTACAAACTGAAATAGAGGAACCTCTGAAGGTTTTAATGGAACGACATCATGCGGTTATGCGTTATTTTTTGAATGAATATGTTAACAGTGATGTGGATGGGTTAGTAGCATCTAGGTAAGGATAATGTAGAGGATATAAACTAACTAGAGATTTCATTACAGAAGTTGCTTTTAAAAATTCGACTTATGGCTTCACGATGACGGTGTTGGTGTGTTTTTTTTCATTGGTAAAAGTGTTGCTGTTAACTAAGGTATTTCGAAAAAGTTAGCCCACAATTTTTGACAGATTTTTAAAAATGTTGCTTTATAAGTATGTTACAAAGCAAAATGTCTATTGAGCTTCATGATGATCAAATATTAACTGCGGATTAAAGTCAGAGGGCCTAGTGTGCTATCTTAATTTACGAATACGATCCTTTGCTCACTGAACAGAAGCCCTGAGTTTTGCGATTCTGGAATTATTTTGATTTGATAGTCAATAGTATAAAGGCGATGGTTACCAAAATGGAATGGGTCCAAACACTAGCCTTTCTGGTGTAGACAGTCGATATACTGATAATTCTTTAGTTTAGTTATTCAGATCAGCGGTTGCACTGTTAAGTGCAGAAGAAGGTGCTTAAGTTGAAAATAGAAGAAGCCAATAGACCAGGTATGGGTCCGGGCTCATACGGACAAGATTTGCTTTTACTATGCACCGGATGCCATACCTCGTCTATTAGCACCTTTTACTCTGTAATTTCAATGCGGAAACGGATGTTTTATAAATATAAATAAATTTCATTATCGGTACCAGGGTTATATTATCAATAATTTTTACAATTGTAGGTGTTGTATATAAGACATTTTCCACGGATATCTCATTTAAAGTACGTGTAATAGACTGGTTAATTGTAAAAGTACCTTCAACTTCATTTTTGGACATCTTAAAGAAGCTCTCTATTATTTTTGTATTAGAATTGAAATAATTATTATTCTTGACTTTAAGAAATTTGAGTCAAAGTGATCCTATCATTTTGTAGGCATATATATGTACTTGAATTGGAAATGTGGTATAGTCCTAATTGCAATTAATTCCTGCAAACAAATAACAAAATAAATAATTTACATCTTAAAGATGGGTTCCCTTATTTCCATTTATGAAAATGAAAATGCTAATACTTATATGAATAGAAAGTAGATGTGTTCTAATGACTTGGAAAAATATCAGTTTGTCTCACATGTCCATAATTAATTTATAATTACCTAAATTAGAAAAAAAATTCCAAACAGAATTCCAATGAGTGACCGATCAAGAAAGGTCAAAAAGTCTTTTTTGGTTTACCCAGACTGTACATACATGGACATTTATGATTGGTTAAAACTCTTAATTATATGCAATACGAACTTAGTATGATTAAGAATACATAATAATTGATTAAAAACACCAATTAATCAAATAGTTCGCTTAATTTGACACTAAAATACAAAGAAATCCATCTTTAAATGATTGAAGACTTTATGGTGACTTATTTGTTGATCTTAGTCCTCCTTCCCTTTTTCCATTTCTTAGTACAATTTTATTACCTAAAATACAGCATTACAGATATAGAACATTGATTCAATGCAAATCCTTACCCACTATACAGAAAACCAAGCTTAAACTGGACCGAACTACTACACAAAGTACGAGTATGACAAGCATTTCTTCCCATTCTATGTCCTGTCGTTGGTAGTTTATGATTTATAGTTTTTTTTAATTTGAATAAGTAATAATATTCTATTGTTATTAATCCTTCCAGATCCAGTGCTGCCAATGCCGAAGTTTGATGAAAACGTTATGGAGGTCAGCAATAATAGTTCACTATCCTATGAACAGACTGGTGGGCTGGGACCATCCGGTCCTATTACATGGGATGATGCTACCTGGATTTTAACTAGTTCATTTATAATTTTTACTATGCAATCAGGTAGGTCAAAGAAATGTTTGTTTGATATGATACCGGTTAAAGGTTTAAACTTCTATTGAAGAATTGTTCCCTTCCATTATCTGTTGAAACATGAATTTTGAAGGTGTTAGATTTTCGTTTCAGTCAAGCTACTATTGACTTATCAAAAGGGTAATCTGATAAATGACGAAGGCTATTTTTAGAAGTCAACCACAAAAGCATAAAATATGATAATTTTATCGTAACCATTGCAGGCTTTGGATTGTTAGAAGCTGGTTCTGTTTCTGGTAAAAATGAAGTTAATATCATGATGAAGAATGTTGTTGACGTGGTGTTCGGTGGTGTTACATACTGGGCTTTTGGATATGGATTTAGTTTCGGACAAGATGAAGGTTCCAATCCATTCTGTGGATTTGGGAGTTTTTTTGTTGATACTCATGGTGACGACATGGGTCTTGTGTACTCAACGTTTGTATTTCAGTTATCATTTGCGACGACCGCAACAACAGTAGTGTCCGGTGCAATGGCTGAACGAACCAAACTTATGGCCTACATGATATTCTCGGTTTTTAACACTGTCGTTTATTGTTTTCCGGCTCATTGGGTTTGGGGTCACAATGGTTTTCTACGTGACCTCGGTGTCGTTGATTTTGCTGGTGCTGGAGTTGTCCATCTTGTCGGTGGAGCATCATCTCTCGTAGCAGCTGCGTTTCTCAAGCCTCGTATTGGAAGGTTTGACGAAGGCAAGACAGCACCACCTATGAACAATCCTGCCGGGGCTATCGTTGGAATGTTCATGTTGTGGTAGGTTTGTAATTATTTTTATCTCCAGCTTAAGACGTAAAACATAATACGTTATTTGGACCTGTGGGATCAAACCAGAAGGATAAAACACCTCTTGATGAATCTGTTTGTTTCAAAACTCATGTCATTACGTTTTAGTTGTCGTTCAGTTAATTCCTTGGAAGTTAAAATGACACTTGGGACTCACTACTAATGGATATATATTACCATGATAGAAAAGCCATAAAATGGAAATTATGAACCATTGTCACTCGAGATAGCTGGAGTTTAATCAGTAAAATTATTTTATTCAATTTATTGTTATTTACTAACGTGAGACATTTCTACACAACTGTACAAACAGAAATAAATAAATTTAAAGCAGAACCTAACAAAACACAAGAGTTAATATCCTATTTCCATCATCATCTAGTACTATCAGAGATTTAACACACATTAACTCATAAGTACATGTAACCAAAAACACTTAAAATATCTTATTAAATATCACTCTTGCAGGTGGGGATGGTTAGCTTTCAACTGTGGTAGTACATTTGGTATATCTGGTGGCAAATGGAAATTAGCAGCCAAGTAAGCCTTGAATTTGATACCTTGGTCTCAAATCGATAAAAAAATTGACTTTGCACAAGTATATAATCCAAAATAGTGTGTTGTTTACTGGATTGAATTGATTGCCTCTCTGATCGCTAGCAATTGTGTCTGATCAAAAGGGGCAACATCAAGTTACATTCAATCATATATAGTGTGCATTGTTATTTATATAGCTAGTGTAATTAAGAATTACGAAGTATTAGAATATGAAATATGTTTCTTTTCAGATCCGCAGTGACAACTCTGATATCGTCATTTTCTGGTGGAATAGTTGGCATAGGGTTAAGGTAGTTTATTTAGTTGCCTAAAACATCTAAAGTTTGGCGTAAGTCTACAAGCATTGGGAGCATCTCAACGCACACGAGTCGCGATAAACTGTTTTGAACATGTCCAAAATAAACGCCGTGACTCGGCGAATAGTGGCGCCCATTGCACGATATGTGATGTTAGACGACCTTTAAGTCAATTTTCCATTGCAGTAGCAACGCAGTAAGAACGCCTTTCTGGTGAGAACGGGTTGCCTCATTCGTGTATCCAAAATATTTATTAATGGTTGATAATGTTGTCATGGACATTGGCAGATATAATCTTTATGACTATGTTTCTATGTTATATTTTGAAGGAAAGTAATAGTCTGTATGTTTCTCCCATAAGACAATCAGACCATTACCACAATGTCATAATGCACACGATCTTCATGGTATTTGTAAAGACAACACTTCTTACATGATTGTTAATTTTTTTTTTAAGTTTTGTTGTATACAAAAAGAAATATGATGTTGCATACATGATAAATTCTGTCCTTGGGGCCTTGGTTAGCATCACAGGTAAAATATAATAGTTACATAAGCTCTTGGCTTTAATCTTTGATCATTATCATAATTCCCATGATGCGATGTTTTGAAGTAAATACATGATATTTATAGACATCAAGCTGAACTGTATGGCTTTTTGTGTCCATATACCATCGTAGAATGTGAACTGTTTCTTAAGGCAAATGTTCGATTTATACATAATTGATACAAGTTTCACTGTCAACTAATTCAAGCAAAACATGTCACTGTTCAATACATAGTTGAAAGAATAAGGTATTAAGTGTAACCTCAATGGCGGCGCAAGTGGGAGGGGCGAGGGAACCACCTTAGAAAAATGGTTTGTACCTCCTATAGTAACCCTACTTCATTAAAAATTTAAAAATGTGATTTTTTATACGTTTTTCCCAAAAAATATTTGCCAGAATGCACAAAATAAATTTTATTTTTCGAAATTGTTCTTGGAGGAGAACCCCCTCAGATGCTCGATGGGAAGGTTGCGACTATGCGACACCTAAGAGAATCAGCATTATTAACTTAACCTCCTAGTCTGCCACTGTTTAGCCTCGAGGTCCATTTGAGCTTCGTCCACCCACAATTATAATATCAGATCTTGATAAAATAAAATTGCAAAATGTTTATATATTCATGGTGTTGAACATTGATTATGCTTACGTTGTAGCTTGCTGTGCATTAGTCCGGCCATGGGAAGCCCTGGTAATCGGCATGGTTGGTGGTTTCTGTACAATATTTGTTATCAAAATAACAGAGATTGCTAAGATAGATGATCCAGTAGGCGCCATTGGTGTTCATGGCGGTGGTGGTTTGTGGGTAAGAAATTTTTTTTTCCATTGTACTTTTATTGTGTTGCGTTTGTTTTTGACGTGTGTCTCCGTCTGATTTAATATTGAGAGCTTTAATTTTCAGGGTCTCATAGCTGTAGGTATATTTGCCGCTGAAGATTCTCTGGAGCAGCTGACTTACGGAAGAGCAGGTTTAACCCATGGTGGAGGGTTTTATCTATTAGGTGTACAAACTTTATGTATCGTATGTGAAGTATTTTGGAGCGGCCTCGTCACGTTTATTATTTTATTTGTAAGTATCAAATCTCTACGAAATTAAACTACAAAAGTGGGATGTGGTATTAAAATACACCAAATGCACAAACATTTACATGGACTAAAATGTACAAAACGTACCAAATAACCCGCAAAAAGAATGATAAACAAATAATGATTTGAATAAAATAATAAATAGCTAAATGTGTGTACTCTCTGAAGAACGTTTTAGTGCATTGTCGGAAGAAAAAAGGCAATGCATGAGCTCTTTGCTTATAGCCAAAAATTCCCAAATGAACATTTGCTGGAAGCTAATAATGGCCAAAAGGCAAAGCAAGACTTTGCCACACAATTGAATGATCTTAATCTGTATTTGAAGCAACTATCTGTAATCTTAAAGTTTGAAAATAACGCCACAAAGGTAAAAAAGAAAATAACATTCTACATATCAACAAATTACTCTATTAATGTTACAATTTTTTCTGAATTCAGGCTATCGACAAAATAATAGGATTGCGAATGTCGGCTGAGGATGAACTACTTGGATCAGATCTTGTGGAACATAATGTTGGTGAATGGCCTAATACGAATAGTGATTCTAAGGAAGAAAATGAGCCAAAAGAAAAAATTGAAGATAGTGACAAACTTGAAAACCGTCGCCATTCGTTGTTAATTGGAGACTCCGGTTGGTCAAAGGCTACTAGATTGTATCGAGATAAGCGAAATAAAGTTCGAATATCATCAATTAAAGAACAACTTCAATCGAGTAGCACTTCGGAAACCTCTACTAACAGAACTTTACAAGTATCATTGCATTTGTAAACACGGCAACTAGCCAAAATGTTCAATCGGAATATGTTCAGGGAAAGGATATATGGATTTGTTCAATTTGTAACGTTTGAACGGTGTTGTAACTGTGTATATTTATTTTGTCTTCTGTGTAATTTTATAGGTCTATGTTCCTTCACACTCGTCTTGTGGCAAGGTTAGGCGTTACTAGAGTGAGCTGACAAATCAATGATCTTTTTGGGATGCACTTGATTTCGAAGGCGAGATGAACTCTTCGCCGTATGGAGACGAACATCACGGTCTATGTTATATAAGTTATTTGCGACCATTTAGAGATATTCCTTTCATATTTTAATGCCATGGAATTTGGAGCGCATTATGCATTCACAAATATCCGCCTATCGATCGATCTGTCTGTCTTCAATTAAATTTTTTATCTTCAATTTTTGTCTGGTCAACAAGGAACAATATTTGAGACAAATGAAACTTAGTAAAATTGTTCATTATCACCCAAGGATAAACTCTATTGAAATTTTATTTTAATTTTTTTTTTTTTTTGTTCAAATGAGTTATTTCCGTTGTTCTTTGAAAGTCCAAGTCCAAGTTTGAACATCGTAGAAGGTACAATATTATTGATGTAAAAATCGGCAATATTTCATATGAGTTATTGCCCTTGTTCTTTGAGGCTGTTCCATCTTAGCACTTTAAGCAACAGGCTGTGAGAGATTTAGACGAAACTAAGGATTTAGACATAAGGATTAGCCCAAAATATCAGAAAAAACAAGTTTTTAAGGAAATACATGACTTATTTCTGACAATTGTTGTAAATTCAACAAATGTTCCAGTGGGAGTATATTACTTTAGCTGGCAAGCTAATTTCCATGATGTTGTTTATATTGTGGCGCGTGACAATTTTCAATTAGTTAGAAATTGTTTTCAGCTTATTTCCTCTGTTATTGATTAAGGACTATTTCTCTGAGTACTGATTAACTGAGGTTGTTTTGCGGAATCATGAAAAAAAAAATTATAATGTGATCGTATATTGTCGTTCGTCCGTCGGTCCGTCCGCCCGTCCGTCCATCTGTCAACAATTGTTGAGGTCACTATAGAGGGCTGGTTTCTTGATGGAGCTTGGTCTGAGAGTTTGTAATCATTCTTGAAAACGCATTCAATTTTTTAATTGAAAAATTAAAATGGTTTGTGAGAGATTTTGATAAAATTTTTGTATCGATGATTTTTATTACATAAGGATGAACCCTATTGAAAATATATAATGTGAGTTTTTGCCCTTGTTCAATTTTTTTTTTAAAATGTGTTGTGGATACGATAGAGAGCTGGTTTTTTGATGGATTTCGATAAAATTTAGTGTCAATGCTCGTTATGACCTAAGGATGAACCCTATGGAAAATCGGACAAATCGAAAAATTTTGCCCTTGTCTCGAAAACTCGTTTAATTTTTAATTGAAAAAGTGTTGTGGTTTCTTGAGGAATTTTGATAAAATTTGTTGTCAGTGTTAGTTATCATATAGGGATGAATCCTATTGAAAATCAGTTATGAGTTATTCCCATTTTTCTTGAAAACTCATTCAATTTTAACTTGTGAAAGGTCTAGAAGGCACAGATTTAGACAAAATGTGGTGGAATTGTTAATTATTTCCAAGTGATGTACCCTTTACATATAAAAAAACAAGGTAAAAAGTATTATATACAATATATACTTTATCAGTTATTGCCCTTTTAAAGACACTTGCATCACCCGAAACTTATTGAAAAGCAGAAAATCGAAAAATACTTAATATGGGTTATTGCCCTTGCTCTTTTAACTCATAAAACTCGAGAAGACAAAATTCTGGACGGATTTAAAGGAAACTTGTTGAAAATCAAAACAAAAGTCTTTGTATAAAGCTTGTGCATACAAAAATGTCAGTCTCGAAATGTTTCATTTATTGATGGCTGGGCGTATTAAAATGGTGGGCGTATTACAATGGGCCATAGCGATTTTATTTAATGGCATGAAATAGCCAAGCTTTGCTTTTGATACGCGCATTCCTGTTAAATATGTATTATTGTGGGACTTTGCGGGTTATCATATTGCCAATTCTTTTTTTTTCGATTTGTCCACAGGGCATACTGCCGAGGCTTTATCTACTGCAGCAATATTTCTACATTTGTGGACCTTCTGCAGTAGCAACGTTGTTAATGAATATAAATTGGAACATTTTTGCACATTACCAAATTTGCAAAAAGTAGAAAATCGGCTTCAGAGGTTGCATTTTTGGGTCGATTTTCTTCAATTTTGGAATCTGCATGAAATTTCTGATATGTCGCAGACTTTTTTCTGCCGAATTCTGCAATTTTCGACCTAAAAAGTTTTCACTTTCTATTCGATTAATTTGAAATTTTAGGTGCAAAGATTGATTACTAAAGTAAACTAAATGGTACAGTCAAAATTTTTGCTTTACTTCCGGTTTAAACGTAAAATTGATTTTCACTTTCGGTGAAATTTATGTAGGTCAACAAAATTTTAAAATAAAATTCAGACCGGATGTGATTCTTTGGCCGCCATATTGATATGACACTTTTGTAAAACTCAAAATGGGGTCTGAAGGAAGAATTGAACGTGTATGATTTTGATGTGTATGTAATCTGTAAAAGCTTGCCAACAAAAATAAGGAAGCCGATTTTAGAATTTCGGCATAACTCGCCTAGGATACGTTTGTTCAAAAAGGGACTATGCACACAATTTCCTCGTCTATTTAGCCAGTTAGTGTCATAAGTTCATTTGTTTCAACTTTAGACGTTCTGGCACGTGACCTAATTAACCTAGAAGAACTTTAGACGTTCTGGCACGTGACCTAATTAACCTAGAAGGTTGATTTTTTCAGTGTCTCTTGCAATTTGCCACATTAGCAAAGTCCCACTATGTGCCACGTGTAGCTCTAATTTAGTCTTTGTCTCCAAATAACCTTGTGTTTTAATCTTGTAGCGACATCAATCAAATCCAAATCCAAATACACAGCTGATTATAGAAAACGAAAAAAAAAAACAAAAAACGTTTAACAAAAGAACAAAAAATATATTCAAACTTGTGTCCATTAAATCCGTTGATCGCATTTTTTCTATGCGGCGATAAGTATCTGATCTTGTAAGATATACGATAAACTTATTTATGATGATTATGGCTTTTTTTTTTTACACAAAATGCAAATTGAGCGGTCGTGAAAATTCTCTTAATGATGTAGCACAACCGCTCGATATATATTTTTGGGGAAGTAACACCTATCCTTTAACGTAATACATGTAAAAAATAAAAACCATTCTTTCGCATGTCCCATCAGAATGTTTTCAACGAGGTATTGAAGGTTGAAATGATGGTGTCGGTCGAAAGAAATTCTACTTACAACGATATATTGTGTTCTCTCCCCTCATGTATTAATGTCATACAGCCTTCCACTACATAATATTCCTAATGGACACTGGGTCTTGGATAGGCGCAAGACACGTTCTAGTGGGAGAAATATTTTCTCAAAAAAATCAAGACAGCTTCGCTTGAATGTGTAACCCTGACTGCAAAGAAACCATGGGTTGATCCCTGTTTTCAGTTAACAAATAAAAAGACCGATATGCAATAAAATGCACGTCCAATTTTGTAGAACATTATATATATGTCATTCCCTCTGACCTGTAGGACTGAAAATAATTATCAACAGGGTTTCGACATTATCTCTTACTACTGTAACTTAATGCAATGTGGACATGTTCCTTTTATGACTGGTAACTTGCGTCTTTCAGAGAGAAACGGAGAGAGATTGATAATCAATATTACTCTTATTTCACTTGATCGAGTGCATAATATTTGATCTTGAGTTTCGTTCAAATAAAAGAATAAAATTACACAGTAGTACATGTATCAGTGGATAAGCTTTAATTGAAGTAAATTGTATTTCAATTGAGAACAAAATACGACTTTAGGTTCTCCTTAAATTATGTGAATGGAAGATTACTTAATACCAAGTAAAGACGTGATTATAAAAAAGATAGCTTGTGGAGTAAGGTAACATACGCCCACTGGCAGCTGTCAGAAATTATAAAACAGTCTTTAGTGACTAAAGTACAAATTTTCTCATATTGAAGAAATTTTATTAGTTGAATTCAATTGCATATACTTCAAGGGCAATAACTCAAAAAACGTTCATCAAAAATACGTCCGACCTCATATTCACTTGGGCGTATAAAAAACGACCTGCTAGACTCTTTAAAGTCACATGGAATTTTAATGGGCGTCTGACAACTACAATAGTAATAGCTAACCTTTATAATTATCAGTTAGCTAAATTGTCGCCACAAATGTCTGTCAGTCAATATTAGGAAGCCTTGCTTTCAGTTCAATATCATTTCTACTGTCTTGGTTGGATGGCTGGTGATAATATTTAGCTATTGTTATATGTTGGCAGTTACCATATTGCGTTATCTTAACGAGTGTATTTGCTCATCATCTGTATGTCTGCAACTAACAGACAGTTTTAATTAGAGCAGATGAAAACAATACGATGTCTATAATAATTTAAAGAAATTTGGTCAAAATGCGTAAATGATCACGTACATATCCAAGATTCCAAAATAAGACACTTGCCTTATCAGAAAGAAAATTATTTGGTAAATATTAGAAATTGTGTAAGCTTTTCTAGGGTATCAGTTATATAATGCTTCAAACGTGTTATGACATAATGTTTGGCGGATGATACAAATGATAAAGCAGCTAAAACATTTATTTTTAGTTATATTTTATATCACATCTGACTTGTTAATTTTACTGCATGCCTGCATTCTTTTACCATAATTTAAAAATTGCCTTTTCCTTTTAGAAATTTAATAGCTTCAACACGTAAGAGTATTTACGATACTTTGAGACCATTACCAGAATTAATAATGCACTATGGCAACTATATGTATATAAAAAAAATTGGTACTACACTATCTGAAATTTTGTTCAATTATCAATTATTTTGTTTACTATTTAATTGCCGCCATAT